TAATGGTACCGCTGATAAAAGTCAGACTTTCTGTTTCAAGTTCTTTCTTCTATAATCCTCTGCACAATGTGGCAGATAAAAGGGGGTTTAAAAACTAAATTGCCTTCTTTTACCCACTTTATAGCAGCCAGTTTGTTCTCCAACTGATGAAACCAAAGGAACTCACAAATAGTGCCATTACTTTTCTTTGAGTTGCTGCAAGGAGATATTTATTATTTATTTATCTATGGAGCTATTTATCTCTTTCATTCTAGGATAAAGAATCAGAGAACTCAATCTCCTCAAGTTCATAGAACTCAACTTCACTAGGAAATTTTGAAGCAATTAAAACATGCACATGAACTTCTTCACTTTCTCTTCAGAAGAAGGAAGATTTCTGTCATGACAGTGTTTTCTGCAAAACTCCATTCAAGCAAAGAATGGCTGATAAAGGCAAAGATTCTCAGAATGCTTGCTTACTTTTATATTTTAAGATAAAGTGTCTAGCCCTTACATGTGCCTGGGAAGTTTCCAAAGCTAGAGAATTTGACTGTATCTTCAGTAGCCTGAGGACAGAGTATGCTGCACAGCTCATGATACTGCCCTACAACTTGTGGAAGCAGAATGAATTATGCAAATTGAAAACAATGGGTACAATGTGCATAACTTATGCCAGTTACAGAATTCAGATTGGCTCTATGAATAGTTGCTTAAACTTAGCACCAGGCATATAGAGTCCATATCTTGCAGGCAAGGAAACCTCTTAAAAATAAAGAGACGTGGCCATCAGATTTACTGGATCACAAACTTTCATGGAAAGTGCTGACAGGATATGGCAAATCATGCTGGAGAATCATGCAGGCATCAGTTATGCCCTTGTCTGGACTACAAAGAAGAAACAGCTCATCTCTACAAAGAAAAATAAATGGACTGCAGCAGGATATTAAGAATATCAGTATTTTAAAACCAGTGGTAAAACATTTCAAGTATTTCAACATTCTGGCGCTAACCCCAAAAACAAAAGTCATGGTCCCAAACTCAAGAAAAACACTGCACAGGAAGACAGCAGCACTGAAATTGCTGCACCAAAGTAAACAGGTTCATTTTATTCCATTCCTTTAGTCCATCAGGTTTTCTCCTATTGTAAAGAATGGGCATGTTTGCATGCATGCGTCACCTGACAGTGTGGTGAACTTCTGCTTATAGTTTTTAATCATCACTGCCCAAGACACTTTCCTCCCTTTTCTCTTCCATTGTTTTATTTGGTTATTGGTATATTACCGTTAGAAAGTACTCGGGGAAATTGTTATAAACCTTAACCGATATTCAGTTACAAGTAGGTAGGATTTGTGTTGTCAGCAATTATGACTGTTGGTCATTATCATGATTCTTAATCTGGGCACATCATACAGAGATGTTGCAGGTCTGTTGTCTTTTTCTTTCGACCACACAAGGCACTGAGGTGTCCCCCCCCTCCACTGTGTTCATGTACATGTATCCGTTGCAAGCTGAGGATCACATTTCATACTTGTGATGAAACAGATTACAGGCCATAAAACTATCAAATCTAGGAGCCTTCAGGGGTCCCCAATCCCTGGTCCACGGCCCAGTGCTGCTCTGTGGGCTTCCTGGAACTGGGAGGCAGAGACGGATCTCCGTGCCCCCCCCCGCGCATGCATGCTTGGTCGATGTGTCACACTTGCAGAAGGGCATGTCGTGCACGTGGGTGGGCACGTTGTGCTAGTGTACATGCACGCGAGTGCAACACACCCCTCTACGAGCACGACACACACACCCATACGCTTGACATGCCCACCCGCAAGGGTGGGGATCGTCCGCCCCCCGTGCACGGAGCCTGCACCACCCGCAAGGGTGGGGATCGTCCGCCCCCGTGCACGGAGCCTGCATCCCCCCAACTGGTCCATGGTCCCGAAAAAGTTGGGGACCACTGCTTTAAGCGATACTAGTATCTTAATTGTTTACACCACAATAGGCCAACATAGTGATCACCCTGAAATTTGTAACAGAAAGGGACAGTTATATGTCTTTCCTATTTATGAGAGCACAGATCCCCACGTTATTTTTTCCCAAACTACAATTTAGTGTTTGATTCCAGTATTATTAAATTGTTGGTGTCATGTCAAAACTGAACCTAGGTTTAATAGAATGTATAACCGTTCCTCAACGAAGTGGGGGGTGTCAAAATCTGAACCCTGACTTCATCTGTTTTATGCTTCTAATGAATCTGTTCTCAGAAGAACTGGAAAAATAGCCAGAAAAAGTGCTTTGTACACTTTCTTATCAGGGACACAACAAAGATTTCACTTGAGTCCCAGTTACACCCACTGAGGATTCTCACTGGGATCCTCTATGACTGCATGCTCTGCTTCTTCTCCTGTCTGTTTTTTCTCTCCTCATTATTGTTTCCTGCTAGTGCTTTCCTATCAAGCAATCAAGATGCAAACCCAGATGATAAGAAGTGAGACGATCAATGTACTTATGTTAATCGCACCTAAGTAACTTCTCACAGAATAAATTCTATTCCTATTCTATCACCATCATTAGACACACACCCCACATAGCTACTGACAGGAAGTTCAAAACCTAGCCAAGCTGTGCCCATTTTATGGGTTATCCAGCACTTAGAATGACCAAGTACACCCTTCCATACATTTATGTGACCAGATGTTTCCACATTCTGTGAGTTTTCAGGTGTAAGAAGACCAGCTTTTATGTTTGTGTGCACATGCAACTGCCATAAGTAGTCATGGAAAGTTATGGGGGCACTGACGATGCTATGTTCAGCTTGCAACCATCTTTTATTTTCTCACTGCTTTTTTGTCTCTTACTTTCCCTGCACAAAAGTGTACTAAGAAAGAAAAAAACTAAATAGGTACATTCTTATACTTTCATTGGTACTGTTAGGAACTATCTGTCTGCCAACAAAGCTTTTAAAAGTTACTTTTCTAGAGGACAGCTTCCCGAATTTCACAGCTGGTGGTCATGCTGGCTTAGACAATTCGGGGGGGGGGGGGGAGGTGGGGAGTGTTATACTCCAAAAAGATAATTCATTCAAGCTCTGTGTAGAAGCATCTTCCAGCTGAACTTGTTAAGTCTCTGAAAACTTTTGACATGACACAAGCAGCACATTCATGTAGAGAGTGCTTCACAGCTTGTGCAAACACCCTTTCACCTTCCCACAAACCTGCCGCAGCCAGGAATTTGCTGTACACATTTGAAATTCCAGTACAGGATTCTAGACAGAGTTCATAGCACTTTCCCAACAGAGGCAGGCATAAATTAAGCCATGCTGTGATGCTAGCTTACTTCCTAGTCTTGCTATCCTTTCTGGTTAAACTCCTTTTCCGTTAGTCTTTGAGAGCAAGAAGAGAGTGTGATAGCCACTGTGGCACAACCACAGTTTCCAAAGCATCCTTCCTCAATATTAGGCAACTGGTTCATCCCAGCAGAAAAGGAGCCCTCACTGTGCCAGAAAACAAGGAGTGAAACAACCTCTGCATGCAAACAAACACAAAGATAGTGTGCCCCTTTCTTTGCATGGTGAAGGAGAGACCATCATAGGAACTCCCAAACCAACCAGGCCTTTCAAGCAGGTTTGAACTCAAGAAGCACATCTAGGCCTTTGCCAAGTCTCGCACGTGTTTGAACGAGCAACATTTTTGCTGGCATGGAAATCTGTGGGAAACTGTTCTTGTGCCAAGTATCTGGACTGAGCAAACAGCCCTGTAAACATCACACAGTGATGGGTTCAAGAATGATGCACTTTATGAGAATCACAGGCAAGCTTGTCCTACAAGCTCTGTATTTTACACAGAATTGAAAGATTCAGACTGAAATGGAACAATGACGAGTCAGTTGAAGGAACTATCATGATGCAAGAGACCATCATTATGCTCTACTGTTGAGGTTCAACGCTTTCAAAATAAGAAACACTCAATTTCAAAGAAGGGACAGCTAGGGATAGGGTATAGCCCTCTGCAACTACAAGCCAACTGATCAGTACAACAAGCAGCACTAAGTGAGAGATTATATGAAGTCCATTCTTGAGCCTGTGATGGGCCTAACCATTCCAAAACATTTTACACAGATATGTCCTGAAATACATGTTTTATTGAAAGGCTGAACAAGTAGGTGGGGGAGGAAAAAGAGAAAAGCCAGTATCAGAAGGCGGGAAACCAAAAGGAGGAAGTTGCCAACTGCGCTGTTCATAAAATAGGTGGAGGGACAGGAGTGGTGATGTGGGGAAAACTCCCCCAGCTCCTTTAAAAAAAGAATTCCTCAATTCAAGCCCCTCTCAACTTCTTCCCAAGACTATACACCTGCTACCTTTCCTTGGCTTCCCAACCAGCTTTGCACTTTGCTGCCCTTTTAAACGATGCCGTTTAAAATGTGTGTGCCCAAGGGCATGCTTTTACCACTTACACTACAAGCACTGGGCAACTGCCGTGGCTCCCAGATGTGCTAAGAACACACTGTGATAAACATATATTTGCTGCTGCTGCAAATGATGATGTTCAGCCTCACCCTCCTGCCGCCGCCAGAGATAACAGTTCTACCTTCACCTTGCCTTGCCACCCAAATAAAAAAGGTCCTGGAACCTCCTTCATCTCTATAATTTTTAAAAAATTACTTCGCGGTTACCTTTGCTCATTTTCTAGCCTTCCCTCACCGCCGGCTGTCTACCTGAGGAGTATAGTGAGTGCCTCCCGAAATTATGTCGCCCCCACCACCTCCCGAATCTAGACGAGCTTAGACGTCTGTCTTAAGTCCTTTCCCAAATCTCTACCGAGCCATCCCCACGCCCGGGGGGGGGGAGCGCAGCGTGTTTACGCCAAGGGACATCAAGGGCCTTTCCTACTTCAAGTGCCCGGGAGCGACCTCCTCGCCGTTCCCCGCCACTCCACCGGCCAGAGGGAGAAAGACCACCCGCGCCCCCCAAAGAGGAGGGAGGCGCGCGCGCGCGCAAGGCGGCGGGGAGCGGGGGGGGGCGCGCGACTCACTCATTCGCTCACCGCTTTCAGCTGCTCCAGCCGGTCCTTCATTTTGGACAGGTGTTGCGGTTGCTCCTCCCCCGCCGCTTCCTCTTTCCAGGTGCCGAAGAAGCTGGACGCTCGGGCGAAACTCCCCACAGGGAGAGTTTCTCCAGGAAGTGGAGCCCAAAGGGAAGGGTGGTGCCTCCTCCTCCTTCTCCTCCTCCGCTGGCTCGCTAGGCGGAGCGTTTAGGTTTCCTGAGTCCAGCGGAGAGAAACCACCCTCGCGCCAACTCTAAAGATGTCTCTCCTCCTCTGTGCCTGTGTGTGTGTGTGTGTGTGTGTGTGTGCGCGCGCGCGCCTGATCCTCGGGCGCTGAGCTGGCCGCAGCTGCTAATCCGCAATGACATACACCAGGGGAAGGGCTTGGGGGGGGGGGAGAGAGAGGACGGAGGCACCGCCCACTTCACCTGAGCAGGAATCTCTCTTAAAGAGAACTTTGCGCAGCCAGACCTGAGCTGCGCTGACCGCCAAACCTGTTGGGAAGGGTTTAAAGACGCAGACCCGTCTTGGTCCTCCCCACGACCCGCGCTTTTCAAGGAAATGGAAGCTATGAATGACTTAACTTGGGAAGGGAAGACTACTTTAGCGGACTTCTCTTAGTTTTACCTGGGACTCCAGAACAGGGGAGGCGAGGGGCTCAAGCTCTTCCTAAGAGTAGGCTGGAACGTTTGCCTCCCAAGTTACAGTATTTACTTAGGAATAAATAACACCGTATTTGAACATACGGAAGGTGCATCCAGGTTGACAACGTAGAGCATTTCTTGTGAACACTGACCAAAGAAAGAAGCAATTTGCGTTTCTGTGACTTATGATTTCAGGAATATTTCTTGAGATGGGCTGACTACCTCTGACTAGAGGTAGGAAACACATCCTTCAAAAGCAAGGTGAGTGTTGAGTTGATGCCTTTATCAACCCAAAAGGCACAACATTGTGCATGCTGCTTATGCTATTTTAGTTGACCTATAGAGGTACTAACTCAAACATGGCATTCAAAATTTATTTCTTGCAAATGTGACGGTCTCTACTTTTGTGAAATTTGAAGTGTTTATTCTTAAAATTTGAGACTTAAAAAGGAGCTTCACTGAGGTGATAGGTGGAAGAATGTAAAGCTTGTGAATGTTTGTACACTGTCTGCTGTAGCCCGCCCCCCAAGAAGAAAGGCCCACTGCAACATTGTGATCCCAGTTGTTCTTGAGTGAGTAACATTCCTATATCTTTCTGCACATGGTGTGGAACATGCTAGTGATTTAGAACATTGATGACTTTGCCCATAGTTTAGGCAAGAAGAAAACACACAGGCTTCTGGTAGATGGTCAAGGCAAGCCTAGCTTCTGTACCACCAACCCTCTTAATTCAAAAGAACCAAACAGTTGTGCAATGTTTCTATTTTATTAAAGGCAGTGAAAAATAAAAAAGAGTAAAACTTCAAAACAGTTCCAACTATTACAGAAACAGTCAAAAAATAAGCTATCAAAGTATTGGCATAATAAAAAAGAGTAAAACTTCAAAACAGTTGCAACTATTACAGAAACAGTAAAAAAAATAAGCTATCAAAGTATTGGCACAAGAACAATTCCAGAACATTCCCACAAGAAAATAAGAAAGCTAGCTAATCTCTGGCTGTACTTGCATCCTGGCACAACTTCAGTGTAGCCTGAGAGCATCTACGGAGTACAATAGCAAAGCAGTAAATGAGCATAGTGGTCTCCTAAGAGATAACTAGGCTCAACTAAGTAACATCTCTCTTCCAGATGAGGCTTGTTACTATCTTCTGCTTCAGTCCTTTTTCTCCTCCTAGATTTGAATAGACAATAGTTCTTCTCATTTGTGTTCAAACATGGCCATCTGTAATTGTCTATTGCATTTCCCCTCCTGCCATCTGGGCTTGCATTTTCCTCTTGCCTAACAGTCCCTCTCCTCTCATAACTATAGTGCAGGGATGTTGGTAACTCTTTGGGTCTGAGTCTTTGGAAGGGATGTTGGCAACTCTTTGGGTCTGAGTGTTTGGGTTGGGGGGGGGGGTCCCAAGCCTCAAGTCCAAGTACCAAGTCCTTATTAAAAAGCTTTTAATAAACTTTACATTTTAAAATGTTTTTATATAAAAAGTTTTTAAGTTGCATCTCCTCCTCCCAACCACCTCCTCTCCCCCCTCCCCTTTATCCCTCCAGGAATAAAGTGCACTGGGTTAGCACATATAGTACACACTGTATGTGTGTGTTATGCGCAATCTTGTCAGAAATAACAAGGCAGATGAGATTTTGAAAGAGCAGTTTCACCAGTGCCACTCCTGCCTTGTGAGTTTCCATGGCTGAGTGGGGATTTGAATCCAGGTCTCCTGCGTCCTAGTCTGTCACTCTATCCACTAAGCTACACTGTGTGTAGTACTGCAGTATTTAAAAAAATAATAATGGTGGTTTAGCACTAAACCACTGTGTTGCCAACAACCATATGGAACTGAAAATGTAACTGCTGGCAAAACCCACAATGAAGGAAAATGTGATTTAGCTGCCAAATGTTTTCATGGGGACCTCACCCAGGTTTAGGTGGAATGTTAGTTATTTATTAGTTACATTCATTCCGTGCTTTTTCTGTGACAAGTTTTAAGATGGTTATGGTGCTAAACTTGCATGCATGCATGCACATACACACAGAGTTTAAAAAGAGGAAAGAAAAAGAAGCTCCAATGTAGCAGGAAGAACAGGAAAATAAACCCAGAAATAGCATGTGAAAGAGGTGTTAAAAAGGCTGTGGGAAACAGCATCAAACTGCAAATGTAGCATGTGTATGTTGCAAGAGAAACCACCGGTTCAGTCTGATGGAAACTACAGTACTGCCACTGCATGCTACAGTGTTTCAAATATGTATTGAGGGACTAAGGACTACTGGGAATGCATCCCATCGAATTCCAAAAAAATATGTATTGAGGGACTAAGGACTACTGTACTGGGAAAGCATCCCGTCGAATTCCAAAGTAAGAGTGTTAGCTTTGGGGCATGTTATTTCCTCCTGCTCTGTGTTCAGAGAGGTGAAGAGCAATGGAAAACAGAAGAAAACTGTGAAGGTAGAGCAGCATGGACGACTGGAAATCAAAATGAAAGTGTAGGACATGGGAGGTCACTCTTACAAGGCACATTACTCTGAATGCCAAAGAGACAATACACGTATTAACATTATTGAAACACAGAAGTATGTATACACATGTGAGAGAAATGGAATAATTAAGCATGAAAAGTAATTTAGAATTATATGCCATTAAGTCAATTCCAACTTTATAGTAACTCTTCCCAGGGTTTTCTAGGTAGAAAAATGGTTTACCTTTCCCTTCTCTGGGGCACCCTGGGACTGTGCAGCTTGCCCGAGGCTACATGGGCTGGCTCTTCTCGCAAGAGGCACAGAAGAGACTCGAGCTCCCAACCTCCAGCTGCACAAGCAGATAACTAACTTGCTGAACTGTCCACCCAGCTAAGCATGAAAAGTACTAGGATTTTTTAAAAAGGCTCCTATCTCTTTTATTGTTATGTGCCATCAAGTTGGAAGTGACTTATAGCCACCTGAATAGGACTTTCACGGTAAGTGAGATATTTAAGGAACGGCTTTACCAGTTCCACTTCGTCAGTGAGTTTTCATGGCTGAGTGGGGATTCAAACCCTGGTCCATCACTCTGTCCACTATGCCTCACTGGGTACCATCTCTAGGGAAGTAATTTTAAAAAATCAGAATTTCACCATGATTTGGGCTGAAGAAATTGGGACATGAGAAACATTGTATGGAGGCTGCAAATTAAACTGGGCAAACTGAACAGTGGCTGAAATCTTGTTTGTAATGTGTTCCAAAATGTAGCTGTCCATCCATTCCTCCCTGGTAAAAAGAGCAGCACTGCCACGATTCTTCAGGGTTCACATGCATGCCTGAGAATTGTGGTAGGAAAGCTTTGCTTATTAGGGAAGAATGGGTGGAAAGTTACTCCTTGGATTACACTATGAACAGGATGTCAGCCAGTGTATGTACACAGAGGAGTTCTTTTGTTTGTTTGTTTTTTAAAACTGTTTTAAACTACGTTATGTTTTAATATAGGTAACTGATTTAACTGATTTGTTTTTTGAAAACTTGTGAAAGCAGAACTTTATAGAGGCCTTTAAAAACGTCCTGCCTCTGAGACAGGAATTTATTACTTTTATTTCAGAGCTTTGTTTCTGTTGCCATATGATTTTATTGCATTTTGCTGCAATTTGTCATTCTTCATAGCATTCTTTATATTACTCTGTCTTTTTATGTTGCCATTGAAGGGTGATGGTATTTTATGTCAGTCTAATTCCTTTGTGTTAACCATCCAGGGTAGTGATTTTTCACGAAGTCGGGTGGTATAAAAATGAAATAAAATAAATAAACAAATAATTGCCATAGCTATAATTTTTTTCTTTAATTGCATTGCATTTGTTCTAATTATAAGCTGCCTTAGGATTTTAAAAGGAAGGTGGATTTCAAATGAAATAAAAGAAATAATGCCATTTGGAGCAAAGCAGGGTGTGGAAACCCCCACCCCACCCCCAGTGCCACTCTTCATGAGTCTTCTTATTGCACAAACCCTGACAGCAGAGGCATAAAAGCAAGAAGGTGGGGGTGGGGGTGGGGGGGCTATCCCACGATATTGCAAGGGTTCAACTCTCACTTCAGCTTTTGTCTCTGAAATCTCAGTGAATGGGATGTTGCTGAGCTCGGAACTCTGACACATCCACACAGGGTAATCCACTAATCTTCTATAAATGCCTAGCTGGTGAATTTGTTAGAAATCTAAACACTTTTAGCTAAAGAGTTGCACAGCTAGCATGTTAGGTATTTATTTGCCTTTGGGCTTTGTTTGAAGTTAGGATTCTTGGAGGACCCAGGCAAGAAGGGTTTCACAATGTGTTTTTTTTTTCTTTTGTACTTATACAGTATGTTAGCCATAAATCCATGGTTGTGTTTTCATACACACTTTTTGTATGGTGGCATGGGACTCAGGGCCTGTCGCCCAGTAATTTGAATGGATGTTTTGGATGCAATGGGATATGAGATATGGAGGTCTGTAGTGAACAAACATGGGCTCTTAGAAGACTCAGAATATAAGCCAAATAATTTCTGTTGGTTGGTACTGCTAATCAACAGTACAAAAATCAAATATTAAAAAAGGATCCTTTTGTGACAGCCTGTGGCTTTGGGGATGGCTTTTCAAAATCGAATTTAGTGCTCACATATGAAGATTTTTTTTCCTGTGTAATAAAAAAGGGAAAGTGTTTCAGTTTTCGGATGCAATGGGATATGAGATATGGAGGTCTGTAGTGAACAAACATGGACTCTTAGAAGACTCAAAATATAAGCCAAATAATTTCTATTGGTTGGTACTGCTAATCGACAACACAAAAATCAAGCATTAAAAAAGAATCCTTTTGTGACAGCCTGTGGCTTTGGAGATAGCTTTTCAAAATCTAATTTAGTGTTCACATATGAAGATTTTTTTCTGTATAATAAAAAAGGAAAAGTGTTTCAATTTTTGCTTAAAGCTACCTGCTCTGACTCAAGCTGATCTAAGATGGCATTGTGAAATATCTCATTTTACGTTGTCTCACTTGAGTTATTGGCACCAATCTTTAACCTGGAGTTTCATGCAATTTCTGTAAATTGTTTAGCTCTGTTTAATTATCCCCCCTCCCCAATGCGGGTGTTTGCCTTCAACATTTTTTTGTGTGTCTACACATAGTAATCAAAACTTTCAGATGAAAATATATAGTTTGAGATCCTTTGTACTCCAATAATTCTAAAACATGATGGAAAGGATATCAGTGCATAATAGTGTGCTGCCATCCATTTGCACAACTCTATGCTGATCCCCACTTCATGGGAAGATGGGATGAAAGGCAGTCTGGCAGCTTCTTAAGTGCATAATAGTGTGCTGCCATCCATTTGTACAACTCTGTGCTGACCCCCACTTCATGGGAATATGGGATAAAAGGCAGTTTGGCAGCTTCTTACAATAAGCATGCATCACTTTAGGCCAAATGGAGACCACGAGAAATTGCTAAAATGAATCAGGAGTAATGGAAGTATGGAAAATAAGATAAGCAATGTGAACAGCCCTATTTGCAGTAGCAGGAGGAGGAGGAGATGTGCAAACTCTTGCCAGCACAAATGAGCCTCAGACACGACACTTGGGAAGTTTCTTTTAAGAAAAAAATAAATAAAATGGCAAGCTGATACCAATGCCATCTATAACTGATAGTAGGATGTTTCTGTGGGACCAAGAGTATCATCCTACTACTACTCAGGTATGGGTGGCTTTAGTATGCCATAGCATTCTTATGACTTAACCTCCTAAGGATAGGTCCATGGAATTTCTCACTATTTCAGACAGTGAGGAGAATTAAGCTATGCTACAAAACTATGCTACAGGGTACTGTTCTGGGGGCCCTGAAGTGTATTGTATCTCAAAAACTGCCTCCTTACTGGCCCTAGTAAAATTGACACCATTTACAGTAGTATTAAGCCTTCTCGTGCTATGGCATAGTGTGGGTCATTAGACCAATCTTTTAGAATCCAGGCAGGACGGGGCTGGAGGAATGTGGAATTAAACTGTGAATATTAATATTTCTGATCATGTTTTCCCTTTTCTTTACATGCATGCAATCATTTTATCATACTCTTAAAATTCAGTAGCATTTGAATGAGCGATCTCCAGGAAGGGGCAGCAGCTGGTCATCTTTGTAGTATTGCTGCAGACACATTCTGCCAAAACAGGTCTGGGGAACTTCTACAAGATCACTGTCTTTCCCATACAATTAACTCTTAACTACTGTTAAATCCATCAATGTTTGCTGTGAGATACATTTTCTAGTAGTGGCTGTTTGGTACAACAATTATTTAAACAATAATTAGTTAAACTGTTAATCTCTCCTATAAATGTATGTACTGCTGTTCTTTTAAAGTCTTCTTCATTTGAAGAGAAGTACATTGTGTTCTCAGTTTTCTGAGTAAATAGTTTCCAGTTCATGTTCCACAAGCTCATCTTTTAGTTTCAAGGATCTGTGAGAAACTACCTGGCCTCAAATAAAGAACACCCATAAAGAATCTGTGGGAGGCAGAGATGTTTGTATGAAGAAGAGAACCATTGTTTTGATAGGCTTCTCTGCCAGAGCCACAAAAGACCCTTGGAATCTTGAAGTTCAACATTCCATTGATGGCCATCAAATACTTTGGATGACTTTTGAGTAAAGATGCCTTTTTAGTTCTCCATGATGCTGTTTCACTGCTGATCATTTTGGTAATGGTGTCCACCCCTCTATCATATTGCTGCCAGCTAACCTCTTACATTTTAGTGCTGATGGAAGAGAAGGAAGAAGTAGATAAAGGTGATGATGACAATAGGAATGATTTTCTCAACCAGGGCAGCTACTAAGAATTGAATCTATACATGGAAAGATGGGCCAGGCAATTTGCAGTATTAGGATAAGCACAGGGATTATTGAATCTCTGAGATTTAGATTGGAGCAGGCTCTTGTGTAAGAATCACAGAATTGAGTATGTGTATGCATGCATGAGACAGTGACATTGACAATGCCCATTTCAAATGTCTGTACAACACACATACAGCCATGTTTATGCTGAGGCACTGAGCTGTGGCACCAGATGGGAGTAAGGAAGAGCCTTCGAGAATATGAAGAGTGGGTACTTAAGCACTGAAACAACCACACATAATGAAGACAAACTTTCATTCTACTTCTCCAGCACCATCTGCCCTGAGAATTTTTCTCTTCCAGACTTAGAAGAGCAGATCATTTCCCTGGGACTTCAGATGCTGTCCTGAGACCTGGCAACCATGCATGTAAGAGCATTCAGAAAGTTTGACATCTAATTCTACAGAATTTGTACAGCTGAGGAAGCTTTGGCCAGATGTCTGGGGCAACTCCTTCAGTCCTTTATCAAAGGTTGTGCCGTCTAAGGCTTCTGGGATTTGAGGTCACAGAAGGGCCAACATTTTCCTATCTTTGGTTCAACAGCAGCTCTGCAAAGCAGACTGATGTTAGTTTGGGTTTTGGGTCCCCATCAAGAGGTGGATTGAAAGGAGTGAACATTAAGAGACAGTAGCTTCTCTAGGGCTGCTTAATAAGTTAATGGCTACAATAGGATTTCAGCGATGGGTTTAGCGACCCAATTCCTAACCACTGTACCCCACCATCTCTTTAAAAATGTGTGCCTGTATAAAGACAGATTAAGTTGGAAAATCTTTCCACCATCACTGCCTTTTTGTGTCACAAAATGCTTCCACAGCTGCTGATCACACAGATGTTAAAGGCTCAGACACCTGCAAGAAAAGAAAGATGGTGATTCTTGATCTAGCCATACCATCTGTGCTTATTCTAATACTGCAAATGTTTTGCCACCTTTTTCCATGCAGAGAGCCAACTCTCAGCAGTTTATACAAAATGCTCACCTGGACTATATCCAGCTGTGTACCGTAGTTACAGATTTAACATGCTGCAGTTATTCAAATGCTTCAAATGTTTGATAACATTGGGCTTTTCTTATCAAATATGAGCTCATATTAATCAACAATGAAAAATGGAAGCTTTAATAAATGTACACATGCTGTTATTTCTTTATTTGTATCAGAAGCATCACAATACAGTTAACAAAATGAAATATAAAATTAGGCAATAGCCTGTATGTAAACAAATATAAAATGCAACGTAGTTTACAAAACTAAAATTATAGAATTTAAATTATGTATGTCAGATGATTTGCACCCAATAACAGGCATTATCAAGGGCATTTCAGACAACTGACATGTTATTTCTTCTCCACAATCTCAAAGACTGTCAATGCAAAACCCTAGTTTTCTTAGATGGAGATTGAGAATAGAGTCGTGAACAAATTTAAAAACAAATCACCAAATTCATTCAAAAATTGCCAATTCATTGATTCATATTTGTATGAATCAATGCCCTGAACAGTTATGTATTGACAATTTTTTTGTAATTTTTGATTTGTCAATTTTTTTGCCTATAAAACACACACACCTCAGGTACCTAGAGACATCAGAATTGCAGGGAAGCTTCCTCTGACTCTCCTCTACAATCGATCCAAGCAACATACCCTCTAATTTTCAGCCCCACTGGGTGGGGCTCAGTCTCTCTCACTTGCGTCTTCACCCCTGTGTGAGCGTGCAACTCCACCCCCCCATGCACAGGGTTCCATCACGACTGAAACCAAAGGAGTTGAACACACTGTGTGGAGGAGGAAGAAAGCTGCACAGAGGGAGGTGGAGTCATGCATCTGTGTGGCTGAGAGGGAACGTTGCCTCCAAGATTGGTAAAGACTGGGTTTCAGATGTCCAAGTTATACACCCACAAAGATGGCCTTCTAGGAAAGTTCCCCCAGGCACCAAGAGACACCAAAATTATAGAGAAGCTTCTACTGACTCTCTTCTACAATACCTTCAAGTTTAGTGACGGTTGGATTTCCCCAAGCCAGGCGTTAAAGGACGTTTTCCGGGGGGTGGGGAACGACACTATTTGTAGGAGTGTAACTTGGATGTCTTAAACCCAAATGTCATCAAACTTTGACCCAACTCCAGGAGGCAGTGGAAGACAGGAGGGCCTGGTGTGCTCTTGTCCATGGGGTCACAAAGAGTCGGACACAACTTAACAACTAAACAACAAAAGGAAGGGAAGCTTCCCTGTGAATTTGGTGCCTCTAGGTATGTGGGTGTGTGGGCATCATAGAGTTTTAAAGTTAAAAAAAGAGAATTAATCAATCATAAAAAAACATAGTTTGTGATTCGTTGACCTTGATGATTCACAAATTGAAACGAATCAGTTTTTCTAATTTGTACCCATCTTTAATGGAGACCTTTTGCACAGGCAGAAAGTTGATTAGGGTGAGTGGCACATTGACTCAAGAGTAGACAATCTCCTGAAGTACCAAGTTAGCCAACAAGAAATACATGGGCTTGTGGAAGGAGCACTCTCTGTGGACAATGAACACAACAGCAGAGTTCCCCACAAGGCTGAGGAAGTACAGAAAAACCCAGAAAATTAGCAGCTGGTTCTCTCAAAGTGCTAAGAATGGAAACAAATATATTAGTTCGATGTGGTTATGACTTCCCATGTAAACTGTATGAGACACACAATGTGGAACAAGATAATAGGGGAAAGAAAAAAGGTCAAGAGAAGACGACAATGCCTGGCAAGGAGACCCTTCCTTTCCTATATCAAGTTGCCACTGGAGGGCAGAATTGCCTCTTTTTCCAAAGGAGCTCTTGCGTGTCGTCTTTCAATCTCTGACTCTCCAATCACTGTGAAACACCAGTAGGGCACAAATTTTAATATGAAGAATTTTAATTTGCATCCCTGCAAACCAGGGTGTGTGTAACTTTAAATGTAATGACTGTAGAGCATTTCCTATCCAGGAAAAGCGTCTTCTGATAAACTTTTTGTGCACACCACTTCTGCTATCAATTGCCTTTCCAACTTTTAAGTGTGTTGCTTCTTGACCAAACACCAATACTCTTCTTCCCACGCCCTTGTCTTGTTCGCTTCATTTATTAAACAAATTGTACGTTCAATGTGAGTTCCACTGACGTTCATTGATATACTTTGAAACAGAACTGCTGCAGGAAAAACTTAGGATAAGGTTAACCGCATTCTGTCTCGCTTCTGCACTCTGTTCTCCTTTGACTGTATTGCTGATACTAAATAAATATTAAACAGCACAACAGTTCCACCAGCCCTTCCAATGGTGATGATATCAACTAACCATTGCAAAGCAAATTTGGAAATTGTATGTGTGGTAAATAATATGTGCGAGATTTCTCATTACTTCTATTCATTATGAGAACTCAGTGGGACTCCAAAAAGAGTCATCAATAAATCCTTGTCCATTCTTTTCAATAGTATTTTACTGGCTAAATTATGCTGGATTGCAACTATTTCTGAAATATTCAGATGACTGTTAAAATAACCAGAATTGATATAATTTCTTGTAAGAGCAGAGTTTTGTTTTTATTTGGACAAATTTTTCAGGGAGAAATTGTGTTATATATCACTGCCTGTAGTTTAAGTAATTAATAAATTGGTATGTATAACCTGTCTAATGTTTTCTCTCTTTCTCCAGCTGTACAACTATCAGTTTCCAACTGCATACTAAAACCAGCCAACTAACCTACCCTGCATGGAAGCAGTTAGTCTACTGTAGCAAGTACCCAAAAGAGTCTTGCAACACCTTAATTTAAACCAAATTAGAGCAAAACAAATAGTTTTACCTGGTGGGTGCTTTCTTTAGCATGCAGTACCGCTTGTTTGGTGTCAAGAATCCATGATGTTCAAGAACTCCTATTGGTCTTCAGTTGATGCCCTGATCAGCCATTCTATGGTATCCTACAGTTCAGGAAAAATCAGGAAAAGGCCACGTGGCTATAGAAATGATACAAATGCAGGAACAAATTCCAGACTGCTAGCTGAGGAGGCTCTTGAAACCACCTCCCTTCCACCCCCTCCCCTCCCCTAGAGCATTTCCAGACTGCAGCTCTTTCCAACTAAGAAGCTGCCCTGGCCTCAACATCAGCCACGTGGCTTTGGGATAACAGCATATAATTTTGGAGGTACCCACAAGTGATGCACAGCCTTGAAGAATAAGATTTATCGTTGGAAGAGCCCAAAACATTATGCCAAACAAGACCTGTGAATCTTTAAGGTGCCACAAGACCCTTTCTTAGTTTCACTTTTCCTTCATGAGCCCCACATAATTGCCAGACACCGAACAGAATGTCCTCCTGTTCCTTGTGGCTGGAGAGATATCCAGATTCCCACTTTCTAGGTTCTTCAGCTGGCCAGGCACTTGGCCATTTCCTTCAACCATTTCCATGTTTTACTTTGACAGCTGTACACTGTTCATGATGCATTTGTACAGAATTTGCTGCAGAGGAGAAGCATGCCATTTTAGAGACAGTTGCATCCTATAGACTCTGGAAAGTATGTAGAGCCTTACGACAGCAGCAGCAGCAGCGATTATAGTTTCACACTTGTTATCAGGTCCAGTTGAAAGGAAACTGTGAAAATATGTTGTAGATAACGATCAGTGAATCAATATCACATGTTTGGCACTACTGTTTGGCTCATTCATTTTAGCTGAATCATTTGTTCATGTTTAGTCTTTCATTCTGTATGAATTAAGGGCTTTGCTCCTGCTGACTTTTTTTGCTTTTCCTCTGGTTGTGGACCACTGCAGAGATTTTGCCCACATTGTCCCTATCATAAATATTTCACCATCATTGTATGAAAGTAATTGATGTACAAGAATATATACTCTTTGTGGCACATTGCTCAAAACACAGAAGTTTGCGTCTAGATTGCATTTAAATAATTTGCTTCCTTCTCTCAGTTTGCAATTTTTTAAAAAATACACTTTTATCAGTCCTTGACTGTTTCTTGAAATTTCACTGTGCTGAAATGACGGTCCTTTGCAATTAGGCAATAGCTTCCTATTACCACTGAAAAAAGAGGCAGGGAAGTGAAACTGATGCAGAGCCTTTTAGTTTCAACCGCTGCCTTCCCTTTCACCTTCAAAAGAACAGCATGTGGAACCAGCAAATTAACCCACACACTTCAAACACCAGAAGGGAGGTGATGGTTTTCTAAGCTTCATGACTACTGCCTGTTGAAATATCAAAATACTGTATTAAATTTGAAACTAACCAGAAAAACCAAGTGGGCAAATTTGACAGTTCCAAAAAGGACTGGACACCCTGAAATGGAGAAAATTAGTGGGAAATGTACTTTTATATCTTTTGGAAAAGCAAAAGGACTGGACACCCTGAAATGGAGAAATGTACTTTTATATCTTTTGGAAAAGTATAAATATCTGAACCCTGGTAATTTCATCAATATGTAGCAATTAAGTATCAAAAACGAAGGAACAAGTTTCCTAAGGTTGAAAGATAGTCAAAGTAGCAAATATTATGTAAACAAATGATTGCTGACTCGAGGAAACTGAATAGGATAGAAATGAATGGAGATTTAGACTGGGCTAGAACATGTAGACTTTCCAACAGATTGAAAAATCTCACTTAGCAAAACAAGATAAGGGGAAATGAAAACAATTGGTAAGATTTATACATATATGGAGGTAAGGCATGTGAACAATGAATCAGGATATTCATTCATAACAAGACAGCTTTGTGTTATGCTACACACACTGAATATCAACAGTGCTGATACCATGGGGCAGAGCAGCAGCAGCAGCACCAGAAAATCAACAATGGGATTTTGGTTGAACTCAGTCCTGGTTCCTAACTCAAATTATCGTCTAGCTTTTAATTTAAAGCTATGACTTTTAATGGCTTTAGCTGAGTGAGCACTTTATTTAATAATTTTTCCCTGTGTGTCTAAATACAGTGGGGTCTTGACTTAAGAACGGCTTGAGTTAAGAACATTTTGACTTAAGAACCGCTCTCTTAGGAAAATATTGACTTGACTTAAGTACTTAGATTTGAGTTAAGAACTGAAAAAAACCCACGTGGAAGGCAGGGAAAGTGCAAAAAGTGAACTTTCAGTTAACTGTTGGCCAGTGAAAAGGGTGCCTGTCTGCTTCCTCACCTCTCCCAGTGGTTAGAGAGTGGATTGTTAGGAAAATATTGACTTGACTTAAGTACTTAGATTTGAGTTAAGAACTGAAAAAAACCCACGTGGAAGGCAGGGAAAGTGCAAAAAGTGAACTTTCAGTTAACTGTTGGCCAGTGAAAAGGGTGCCTGTCTGCTTCCTCACCTCTCCCAGTGTTTAGAGAGTGGATTGGGAGTCTTCAGACTGCCTGGTACTGCCTGGACTGTATTTTCCCTGCCTTCCCTTAACCTTTCTTGACCTAAGAAAAAAAGAAACAAAATATCCCCCTCTAGTGGTCGAAGGCAGAATAGCAGCTTCCCATTAGATTCTATGGACGGAAAAGAGCAGATACGGATCAAATGGTTTTCAATGCATTCCTATGGGAAATGCAGATTTGACTTGAGAACTTTTTGACTTGAGAACCGCCTTCCAATACGGATTAAGTTCTCAAGTCAAGACCCCACTGTATGCTTAATGTATTTAATTTCATAGATTTTTAATTTTAAGAACTTTAATATTTTAAGAGATATATTCTCTGTCTTGCTTTCTAAAGATGCCTCTATAAGCTAGAAAATTCTGTATTTTAAGAATGTAATCTAAAACATGCTTTTTGATATTTTGTTGTACTTACGCTCCTATATTTTTTACTGTATTTTGCTCCTGTATTTTAATACACATATACAGTATTTTATATTCAAGTACAACTGTGTTTCCTTAAAAATAAGACAGGGTCTTACATTAATTTTTGCTCCAAAAATGTTTTAGGGCTTATTTTCAGGGATGTTTTATTTTATTTTATTTTCATGTACAACTATCTACATTTATTCAAATACTGTACAGTCATGTCATCTTCCGGTTGCTGCACAATGGTGGAGGGCGGGCTTTCACTTAACTGGGACTTCCTTTTGGGGTAGGGGTTATATTACAAGCATCATGAAATGTCATACTAGGGCTTATTTTCAGGTTAGGTCTTATTTTGGGGGAAGCAGGAAATTTAAGTTCAGTTTTCATATATTTAAACATTTGTACCTACAGTTCTGATCACAGCTGTAAGGATGTTTTTTAAAGCAACTATGACTTCTGAAAAAGTTACATGAATTAAATAAATAAATATAAATTAAATAAATAAATGTAGGAATAAATTTGGTAGCAATAGACAAGTTGATGTTAAGTGGATTTATTGCAATAATGAAATGCTTATACCTTGATATTCAAATGATATGATTGTGATTATTTGTTTTCATTCTGGGATTAACCTTTAATTGGAATAAATGCCAGCTGTGATAAATGCAGGCTTCTGATTTTTTTCCCCATATACAGTGGTGCCTTGCAAGATGAATGCTTCACAGGAAAAAAAACTCGCAAGATGAATGGTTTTGGCAATAGGGTTGATGACTCAGAACTGGACAGGGGGAGTGTGTCCCTGTTGGTTCTGCTGGACCTCTCAGTGGCTTTCAATACCATCAGCCGTGGCATCCTTCCGGGCTGTCTCTCTGGGATGGGACTCGGAAGCACTGTTTTACAGTGGTTCCAATCCTTCCTGGAGGGGAGAGCCCAGAGGGTGGTGCTGGGGGACTCTTGTTCAACATCTGGCCTTTGGCCTGTGGTGTCCCTCAGGGTTTTGCTATTTAACATCTACATGAAACCGCTGGGAGAGGTTGTCTGGAGTTTTGGGGTTTGGTGTCACCAGTATGGGGATGACACCCAACTCTATCTCCACCTAATTCCACGGTATATTGGATACACTCTTTAATTATGGGGATTGTTACAGGGGGGCAGATGTGTATCCACTGGGGTATGTGGCACGGAACAATTTTCTTTCTAGAAGACAAGAAAGCAATGCATTCTTTCAGATTCTGAAATACTGGCTGAAATCCTGTGGCTTAGCATAGTAAATCATAAATAAAGGAGGCTTATTGAATCAATGAAACTTATAAAAGAATTGACTCACTGAATCTTTATTGATTCAGTAGGTCTCCTCTATTTGTGATTTAGTGGTAAGCAACAGGATTTCTGCCATTGCATTCCCATAGAAGATGTCAAGAGCAAATTATTGTCTAGACCAGTGGTTCACAACCTTGGGTCCTGTGAGACAGAAGGCAAGAGGGATACCCCATTCATTGGAGAGCCATCCCTCCTCCACAACGAGGATACGGAGGCAAGACCCCAGCCAGCGCCAGAACCTACAGAGAGAGCTCGGCAAGGGACAGAAATAGAGGAACTGAATGAAGAGATACAGAAAACAATGATGGAGGAGGTTCAGGAGGAAAAGGCGAGAAAAAAGAGGGTAGAGTTTGAGGCAGGAACAGGGGAGGAAAAAAGGTAGGAAGGGCAGTTGCCACCAGACTGGGAATGGGTGTGAATAGAGGATCCCTGGACAGGATCATGGGAGAGGCTAAAGGTGCCTAAGGAGGAGGCTGATTATAGAAGGAGAAGAGAGATTCCACCCAGACCCTCTTATTGAGGACAAGTCATGGCAAGAGAATGGAGGAGGAGACTGAGAGAGGAGAAAGAGAGAGTTGAGAGAGAAAGGAAAGACTAGAATGGAGAATAAGGGAGATGAGGAGGAAGATTAACAGGGAGGACCCTGGGAGAATCAAGACCCTGAGAGGTGAATCCTGTGGAATGACAACCGGGATGTCTAGACTGTGCCCCTGTTGGAAGGTTCGACGGGGCAGACCATAAGAGACTGGGTCCCTTCAGATTTGCCGGGACCATGGAACACTAGTTGTGGAAATCCCTTCCTGTTCAAAGGTTGGAAACCCCTTCAAGACTCGTTGGCAGAAGGAGAAAATACTTAATAATCATGTCACAGACCCTTGTTTATTGTTAAATGCACCAATAAATCTTTCACCTGTTTTGAAGCAACAAAAATATACTCATTTCTTTGAGTCGAACATGGAGCCGAAAGCTGAACTCTCACAGGTCCCCATATGTTATTGGACTAAAACTCCCAGGAACACTTACCACTCGTTGTGCTGGCCAGAATCTCTGGGAGTTACAGCCCTAGAACATCTGGAGACCCAAGGTTTGGAACTCCTGTTCTAGATGTAACTCTGGTATTGGTCAGAATCTGGTATGTCTTTCTTTTAGAAGTCCCACCTTTCAAGAAACTTCTCAAGTACTAACCTGAAGAATCTTGCAATGCTTCTTCTGTTTAATGCATAATTTCCTTTAATACACAAAACTAATATTCCTTTGGGTTTTATGAATAAAAGTATGTGAAAAGTTATTAATAAGGCTCAAGTTCTTATTTTCTTACTTAGGCAGAGGATTTCAAAACAGAGTGCTTTGGGGGCTTGTTAAAACAATGAGACTTCTTCTGAGACCCACACAAATTAACAAAATTCTCTGATGACCACAAATGATGTTTTAGAACTTTACTAGGTCAGGAACTGTATATCATGGAAAGATGTTGGGTTCCCTAAGGAAATAATTAGCTCATGTAGAAAAGTAATTATCTCCCTCAACTTAGGATCTCACACATTTAGTTTACACTTCCAGTTCTCATCCATGGGCACCTCAGAGACCTGGAGAATTAGGCGGCCGAGTTTGTAAAGTTTTAAATTCTTACAAGACAATTCCAGAATCAATAGAGATGCATACAGTGTGTTGATTCTGTGCTGCTGTGTCTCCTTCCACTTCTGTTACACAATACCTGATGGTCATTGTGACGATCGCCCATGTCACTCATCCATTCATAGTCATGAGCTGATTTGCATGAGCATATGAGAGGACTGGAGGGGCGGAATCAGCAGCTACATGAGGTTTGGCGGGAGAAGGAGGAGTCAGATAGGGCTGGTTAGTCAGAGAGAGAGGGAACAGATACTGAGAGATAGAGCTGGTTAAGAAAATAGGCAGAGAAAGTGGTAATGATATAGCAAGAGAAAAGTATGTACTGAGAGAACTGTTGATGATTTGCTTTTGTATAATGTTTATCTGAGACACTTCTGTTATTGTTCAATCTGCTTCACTTCAATAAATAAGTTCTGTTTCTGTTCACAAGTTAAGTATAAACGTCATTTATATTGTGGATTGTGGTAATCCACTGGTGGCAGCGAGAGGAAAACATGACGTGACCCTTTGTGAGGGAAAGACAAGCAGGGGCCACAAGGGCTAACACCACAGTCATCTTTTTTTCTCCCCTGGCT